AATAATTTTAGGTAACTATTGTTCACATGAAATATAATTAGTAACTCTGACGAGATAGACTGTTTTTTAAGGCGGAGTGAATTGTAGAAAGGTTTAAAGATATAAATCTATTGGAACCAATTTCGCAGATTTTGGATGATGCTTGCGTCTCTATTTTCATAAATACTGGTAGAAAACAATGTCTCCTGATTCATTTAGTTAAGGTTTTCCCTATTGAAATTTCATGTCCTATTGGGCTGTATATCTTAAAATTTAGGTAAGAAGGTTCAAAGGCGAGGTTTAAAGTGGACTGTGAGATGGAATTTGTTCACATCATCCCTGAATAATTGTCAAATCTAATTCTAAAATATTCTAAAATACAAGATTAGAGATGATAAATTATGACATCTATGATAAACGTGACCTATTTTTGGCATGTATGATTCTTTTTGAAATACAGTAAAACCTCCCTGAGAGGACACTCGCGCTAGAGGACACCTATCTTTAAAGGACAGTTTTCATTTTCAAAATAACCATTTTTAATATTTAGCAACTCTTCAGTAAGAGGACACTTCTCTCTAAAGGACACTTTGGCTCTGCAATTAGGTGTTGTCCTTTACTGGGATGTTCTACTGTATAACAATTTTCTACTGCCCTTACTGCAATGATAAAATAATGGAAGCGCCTGGCTTATCAGTGGTGAACTCTGCGGATTTCAGTTCAATTTACCATGCTGCTGTAATATTTCATTAGGCTATTTTACTTTTACACTGATAATGAAGCTGACATCTTGTAAATGGTATTTTAAATATTGTTCTCAAAGATAAACGAGCATCTTTTTTTTCAAATTGTATAACTAAAAGCTATGAAAATTTGTATTCTTCTTAAACCAGTTTATATATGAAAAGAAAATATTTTGCCACACTTTTTAAAATAAATATCAAATGTAATTTAAATTAGGAATTAAAGCGGGTATGTCAGCATAACTCAAACACTTTCTAGTTTGACATCTAACAAATCCCATATTGGTAAAACATATATCTGTAACAAAACTGCTTCAATGGCAAATGATTTTTGCAAACAAGTCCAAACTCACCAGCAAATGCAAATAAAAAATGGGGATGTGGCATCTTGGAAAATGTTGAAGTGCTTTAAAATATATTTACATATATTGAAAGAAATACACAGAGATCGCATACCTTGAGGTAAAGTAATGATATGGCGTATTTTAGGTTTGATTAAGGAACAGAAGCATCTGACTTGTGAACTGTTTGGAAAATAAACAATCAGACTCAAAATATCAGGTTTATTTTGCCCTAAATAAACTTTTCAATCAAATCCAAGCTATGCTATATTATTATTTATATTAAGATGTGTGTGTTGTACTTGTATTAAAAGGTAGTCATTAATTTCCCACAATGGTTATAATGTCTACTTGAAACAAGTAGAAATATAATTTAAAATATTAGTATGTATTGTGTGCATTGGACTGCTATAAGCAAGCTTTGAAATTTATATAAAATACTTGTGTATTTAGTACTCTTGAATTTAACTTCTCAAAATAAAAATTCAGCAACTGGTTACTTTACAAATAAATATGAACATTTAAATTTCTATTGATGTTATCGTGAAACCTCTCGAGTAATTCAGTAAAAATGTTAAGAAAAAGGATGAGAATGAAGAATGAACGGGAAAGCGATGCTGTCCACCATATTTCCTATCTGTTGAACATCCTTGTTGATATGATAAGGCTGATTTTTTTATTTTTTAATCCAGCGGTCAATCATCTGTCGAAATATCGCATTAAATTATAGATATTATTAGAATAATTCTTATGAATTAAGTTAGTTTCCTGAATGGTTGTATTTCACAAATTGATTTTTTTATTATATTGAAAAATTTTTAGTTATAAAATTTATAAATTGGTTTCCTGGGTCACCTCGCTCCAACAATGATCACTTTAGATAAAATATTTTTACTCTAGGTAGGATGTCTAGGAGCCTGGCAGGGCTGATTTAATTGGACTCGGCCGAGTAATGCCTGGGCGAAGGCTGACTCGAGCGACCCGATGTTGGAGCTCTGTCAGAAGAGTGGTATAGGCCTACTGGGGAACCCGCCACTATAAACAAAGGGTAACGCGCCAACGGCCGTACCTCCTGGGTGGTGTGGAAATTAGGCCAAAAATAATAAAATAAATAATAAATGAATACACACACAGATGAATAAACTTCAATAAAATCAAAGCGCCTACAAAGTTTACGCGATCAAATACCTATGCTGTATCTATAAAATATGTTATTAGACATTAAAGATCTCCTTTGTGTAATCAAGCCTTTCAGCAATTAACCACCAGTTCTTATATTTCTCTCGATATAAAAACTGCTCTACAATATAATTTTCCAAGTTGGGAGATGT